GGTCCCGTGGTTAGGGGGAGGTGCCAATCACAGGACAATCCTGCGGCGCGGCAAAGAAGCGACCTCTCTAGCAAAAGGCTCCGTGGGTTTAACCCCTTCCAGGGCTGCAGAGGAATGCAAACGGTGGCCTCCGTCCGATCCCCTCCAGGAGGAGCTTCAGCCAGGCCACCCTCCCGCCAGGCCCCCCCTGCACCTCCCCCTCTGCCGCCCGGTGCAGAGAGTTCCTCTCGAGCAGGCCGAGCCAGGAGTGGGGGGAGGTACGGAAAAGAGGGGGGGGGCTGTGTTGTTTGTTTTTAAACGAAGTGGGCGCATGCACCGTTGGGTGCTTGTGTGCATCCCGTGGAGACTTGGGAAAAAACCCTTTTAGCGACGGGACATGGGCGGGCGCCGGATGCCACAACCTACCACCGGAAACACGATCAGGCACCCGCCCTTGCCCCGCGGTTTCCGGAAACTAGTACCTCGGAGGTACTAGTTTTTTACTCCGCATCTTTGGCGGGAAGCCTTGGGTTCGCCACGGGAGCTCTACGCTTCCCAGATGTGGTGCTGTGATTGCGCCCGGAAAATCCGCCTATCTTCCGTCTCTGTAGCGTGGCTAATGCTCCGTGTGACCGCAGCCTAAGTAGACTTGTCTAGGATTCTGAGTGGACTTCCTGTCCGTAGTTGCCCTTTCCTGGCTCTAGCAGGTGGCTGAGTTGCAGCAGAGTACTGTGTTTATATGTTGTAAACCTGTCCAAGGGAAGCTTGTCCTTACGCAGGTTCTGTCAAAGATGTAACATGCCTCAACTCCTGGTTGATAGTTACCATTTACCTCAGAGTTTTCCCCTAGTAAACTACTTATCTGGTAGTTTCTTCCTAATAATGCTTACGTTGCGTTTGTTTCCAGCTTTTGCTCGTTTTCAGATGAGGATCTTGGAGGTAGTTTCAGTACCCCCTCTAAGAATCCAATGTATTCTTGATACCATAAATGTTCTTGGAATGTCTCACAATACAAGAACTCGTGGGCACTCCATGAAATTGCTGAGCGGTCAGGTGAGAACGGATAAAAGGAAGTACTTCTTCACCCAAAGAGTGAATAACACATGGAATTCACTGCCACAGGAGGTGGTGGCAGCTACAAGCATGGACGGCTTCAAAAGGGAATTAGATAGGCATATGGAGCAGAGGTCCATCAGTGGCTATTAGCCACAAGGTATAGATAGGGACTCTGGGGCAAGTGATGCTCTGTATTCTTGGTGCTTGGGGGGGCCAACAATGGGAGGGCTTCTAATGTCCTGGCCCCACTGGTGGACCTCCTGATGGCACCTGGTATTTTTGGCCACTGTGTGACAGAGTGTTGGCCTGGATGGGCCTTTGGCCTGATCCAACATTGGCGTCTCTTATGTTCTTATGTCTAAATGCCCTCATGGTGTTTTTCTGTTCCCCTTCAAGGACTTTGGGTTCCTGGACCATTCCTTGACTCGCAGCACCATCCAAGAGAAATGGGGTTCCTCCTGAGCTGTGAGGAATCGGGAAGGTGTGCAGGTCTTCCCTTGTCAGGTAAGGGGGAGAGCAGTGCAGTAAAAGGGCTGTTTCAGTTCATTTTGCAGATTTTTTTCCCCTGTGGCAGTTCTACATACTCCTAGTAGTGAAGTCCGGGTCCAGAGAGACATGACAGTAAATGTACAGCTGCTCCAAGGAACGTTAGTCACAGGCTTGGTCCATTCCTCATCCCCTCCTGTGATGATCGCAGCCTGTTGTGTTTTGCACGGGATGTATCTCTCGTGCTCTGGGTATTCCTCCTGTGGTGTGATGTTGTCACAGGCCCTGAGGTATAGATGATTGAACAGAAGGAGCCCTGACAGTTTCTGCAAAACACACACTCACTCGGTTCGCAAAGCTCTCACTGTTACATCCTTGAAAGGATAATGCATGAAAAGATGGCTGCATCTCCGTCAATAAATCTTACCGTGTAAGGAACGAACAGATCCCAGCATTGAAACATGTATTTTCTATGGGGCAGGTAACTTTGAATGCTTACATCATGGATTGAAAGAAGGCAAATGAAATGGTTTTGATAGAGTCATGTGAATTTCACCTAACTGGGCCTGTATAAGACAGCCACACCCCAAACACCCTTGAATCTCTCGGATGTAGGCTGCAGTTTCTGAAAGTGCTCTGTTGAGAATCTCAGAAGTTGGATTTCATCTTCACAGTTTCAGATAGATAAGAGATGCTATGGATGTCTTTCTGTTTCTGGTTTCAATGACATAAAGTATTTTTTGCATCACTGTGGCCCCTGCCACACGGGGGGGGGGGGGGGAGCACGGGCAAAGTGCGGCTTTTGAAAGCCGCACCAAATGAGACACGAGGTGGCGGAATCACATAGATCCCCTGAGCCGCTGCGCAGTTCCAGACTTAGCATGCCTGCTAGGGGATACTGATATGCTAAGAGGCTGCACCTAAGGTGGCTACGAAGAGGAAGAGGAAACGGTAGCAAGGGGGTTTCATTGGGGCTTTGCTGGAGGCCTGGAGCTACTGGAACCCCTTGTCTCTGTAAGAAGCCCCCAGTGACTAAAGGGATGTGAGAAACTGACTTTATGTGTATTGTGAAGTTTCCCCCCTGCATATGAAGTATATTTGTGTTACCTTAGGGAATGCTTCCCTAAGGGGGTGGGGGGTAACACTCTATTACAGTGTCTTCCACTCCTAACCAGACATGAACCCAGAGAGTAGCCACGCTTCTTACATGCTGATAATCGCACGAGAATTTGCTCCTCTCTGGGGAGAGCGGGGTACAAATAAAATGAATGAATGAATGAATAAATAAATAGATAAATCCTCCCTTTTTCTCTCCCTCCCCAGCATATGGGACCTGGAGAGCGGAGGAAGGCCTTGCGTCAGAAGAAGCGCTGGAGAGTTTTCCGGGAAGACCTCAAGAGGACATTTCCTTCCCGACTGAACTGGGTGAGAGGGAGAATCCTTGGGGGCTCTTTCAGGGAAACAAACAAGGCATATCCGGGAAGGAGCTCTGCTTTGTAGCCTGATAAGGTTGTATTCCCCTGTGTCATGATTCTAAGGCCTGCGGCTGAGGAGTGGAGCGTCTTGTAGGCCTCAGGACAGGCTTCCCCTCACATGCAGGCCTTCGGGGCCTTGCTGCAGATTTCCCTGCAGGCCTTCCTTTGCCAGGCTCCCTCCAAACATCACTAGGCCGCACCCTTTCCCCTTACATCCTGGAACAGGAGTGTTGTGCTGGGCTGTGGGGATTTCCCAAGCCCTTCTCTCCCCACCGCCATTCCTCATGTTTCCCAATTGATCTCATCTTGTTACTGCAGAAGCAAAGTGAGTGAGATATGTGATTTGGAATTGACAGTGCTTGTTGGCCTACTGATTTTGGAGGTGGCTTTTTCAAAATGGTCTGGAAACTTCAGTTGACTCTAAATGGGGTAGCCAGGTGACTGTCAGGGTTGGGATACAGGGATGGTGTCACCCTGGTCCTGAAAGATCTGTGCCGAGTGCCTGTTCTGGGCACAATTCCAAGGGCAAGTTCTTACCTATCAGGCCCTGAAGGGATTGGGGCCAGGTTACTTGAAAAGACTGCCTCCTCCCCTACTATCCAGCCTGCCACCTAAGACCCTCCTCACAAACTCTGTCCTCCTTTTAGAGTTTGGGTGGGTGATGGGCACAGACAGGCCTTTATCAGGGTTGGCAGCTTGCTTGTGTGGGATGCCCTCCCCCTTGAGGTTCTCCTGGTGCCTGTACTACTTCCTTTTACGTGCCAGGCCAAAATGTTTCTCTTTAACCAGCCTTTCCATTAAAGTTGCTTTTTTTTAAAAACCATTTGTTATCCTCCAATTTTAGCTAGAGGGATGTTTAAAATCCTTTTCCAGATTTTGTTGTTTGATGCTCTTCCTGGGTTTTTGAGAGCTGTGTTTTAAGAACTTTTCTGGTTTTGTTATGTTTCACTTTGTGAGCCGCCTTGTGGAGGATTCCTTGGAGGGGTGGCATAGAAATATTCCTAATCGATGGATAAATTTTGCAGTTGAGGAAACTTTTTTCTTATGGGAGAGCTCCTAAAGAGGCAAGAAAAGGCTGACTTCTCCTTTGCTGTCCCCAGGGGACAAAGTCTCCTCCAACCACTGAGGAGCATGAAGATTTTATTTATTTATTTATTTATTTATACATTCAATTTATTTACCGCTCTTACCCCGAAGGGTCTCTGAGCGGTTTACAGGCAGTTTCAAATACAATTCCCTATCTAAGGCCACATAGTATACAGGGGTGGGGCTGCCCACAAGCACCCAGGTGGCAGGGCTGTTGCTCTCCGGCATTCTTTCTCCAGGCGGTCTTTCGGGTTGGCGCCCCATCTCCGGTGTCCAGGGGCAGGGTCTCTTTGGCGCGCGGCCCATGTCAGCCACACCCGGGCCAACGTCCATTTCCGGCTCCGCCGCGCCATTGTTGTGCTGTCACAGAGTCCTTGGAGCAAGTTGCCTGTCCAGTGCCCATTACACTGCAAAGAAGCAGTTCCTCTTTGGTCTGCCCATCTGGTCCCTCCATTCACCTCTTCCTCTGGCTGTACGTTTCCTTTGCTTGTAGTTGTACAGAGGCTTTCTCAGGCTTCCTTATCTGGGAAAGTACCGTTTGGCAATGACAGGCTGTACTAAGTGGCCTTTCCTTCCTGGAGCTCTTATTGGATTTCTCTCTCTCTTTCCCAGCAGGGGATGTGCCAGAGACTGAGGGACAGGGGCAACCGGAAGAGGGGTCTTCAGAAGGAGACGAGGATCTGGAGGTGGAACCTTGGGATCGAGATGGAACTCCGAGGCAGCTGAAAAGAAAGTGGGAAGGAAAATGGATGGGAAGGAAGGAACTGGTTGACATTCAGGGTAGAACCATGTATGAGATCCCGTCACAAGGCAAAATGCAAACAGAAAAGGGAAGGAATAATTGCCCCATGACTGGGGTAAGGTTCAGCTGCACATCCAGTGCTGAGGCAGACCAGAAGATCAAAACAGGCAAGAAAACGTATGACTGCTTAGAGTGTGGGAAGAGCTTCAGTCAGAAGGGTAACCTTACTTTACATCAGAGGATTCACACAGGCGAGAAGCCATATAAATGCTTGGAGTGTGAAAAGAGTTTCAGTCAGCATGCACACCTCATTAAACATCAAATGATTCACACAGGAGAGAAACCATACAAATGCTTGGAGTGTGGGAAGAGCTTCTGTCAGAAGGGTAACCTTATTTTACATCAGAGGATTCACACAGGCGAGAAGCCATATAAATGCTTGGAGTGTGAAAAGAGCTTCAGTCAGCATGCACACCTCATTAAACATCAGTGGGTTCACACAGGAGAGAAGCCATACAAATGCTTAGAGTGTGGAAAGAGCTTCTGTCATAACAGCCACTTAACTGTACATCAGAGGATTCACACAGGGGAGAAGCCATACAGTTGCTCAGAGTGTGGGAAGAGCTTCAGTCGGGAGGACAACCTTGCTGTGCATCAGAAAGTTCACACAGCAGACAAGCCATATGAATGCTTGGAGTGTGGGAAGAGCTTCAGTCAGAAGGGTAACCTTACTTTACATCAGAGGATTCACACAGGGGAGAAGCCATATAAATGCCTGGAGTGTGGAAAGACCTTCTCTCACAGTAGTGACTTCACTAAGCATCAAAGGATTCACACGGGGGAGAAGCCATATAAATGCCTGGAGTGTGGAAAGACCTTCTCTCACAGTAGCAACCTCACTAACCATCAATGGATACACACAGGAAGGAAGCCCTATAAATGCTTGGAGTGTGGAAAGAGCTTCTCGCACAGTAGCTACTTCACTAACCATCAATGGATTCACACAGGAGAGAAGCCATATAAATGCTTGGAGTGTGGAAAGAACTTCAGATGGAGAGTAAGCCTTACTTTACATCAACTCATTCACACTGGGGAGAAACCGTTTAAATGCTCAGCTTGTAGCAAGAACTTTTCTAATAAAGCAAACTTTACAAAACATCTGAAGATTCACACTGGGGAGAAGCCCTATAAATGCTTGGAGTGTGGGAAGGGCTTTAAACGGAGAGACCATCTTACTTCACATCAGTGGACTCACACTGGGGAGAAGCCGTTTAAATGCTGAGATTGATAAGAAAAGGTTTTGCTACAATTAAGCCTTAATCAACATAAGAAGATTCACACAGGGAAGAATGTAAAAATGTTGGAGTGTGGGAAAAATGTCAGTCCCAGCACAAGGTTTACTCATCACCCAAAAAGTTACACTGGGGAAGAAGTTCACATTGAAGTGTTCGCACATCAGAAAAGCCATCTGAATGCTGAGACCTGAAGCCAGAGCCTTCTCATGAATCTGGTGTTATTGTACTTAATGTGGATTCATGCAGAGCAATGGCATAAATCCCTGTTTTTCCCCTCCGCCAGTGAATTACAGCATATAGCAAGAGAGAGTTCTCTAGCTGTCTTTCTTGCTGGAGCGGGAACCTGCCGATCACACCTGCAACTGAAGTAAGATAGAAGGGGTTACAACCACTGATCGCTGGTCGGAGTAGCCACTATGTGCTCCTGCTTGTTAGATGTCAGACCTTGAGGAAGAGCTGGGGGTGCAGGGGCTGGTGTGCAAAATGTACTTTCCCTGAAGGGATGTGAGGGCGATCTGACTGCGGCTTTTCCTGAAGAACTAGAAGTGATGTCTTTGCATCAGGGTTACACTCTAGGATCCTCCCCAAACTCTACTGCAGCATACGGCATTGTTCTCTCCAGGGGTCATTTCGTAGAAAAAGAGCTAGGGGAACTCATTAGCATAACTCATTAGCATATGCCACACCCCCTGAAATCAGGGGCCCGGCGGTGGACCTGCAAGGCCAGCGGGAGTGCGAGGAAGCCCCGCCAAGGCCCTCCCTGGCCCCAGGCAGGCAGGGGTGGGGAGAGGTGGGGAGGAAGCAACTTACCCTCCCTCTTCTCCTGCCTCCTCCTGGCTGAATGAGGGCTGGAAGCGGGGCGGCCGGAAGCAGGGGGCATGGCTTCGTTGTGTGCCCCGCCCCCTGCACCTCACCCGGGGGAACTGCGTTCCCCCGCGTTCCCCCCCCAAATGACCTGGTTCTCTCCTTCTCAGTTTTATCCTCACAACAGCAACCCTGTGAGGTAGGTTAGTCTAAGGGATTGACAAGCCCAGGGTTATGCAGCCATCTTTGGTAGAGGTGTGTGAGCACCCTTGTTTCAAGGGTTAACATGATTATGAAACTCGTGGGGAAAGCGATTAATAAATCGAAAAGCATCAATCGAAAGCATTATTAGGAGGCCTAGTCCGGCCTGCAGGTGTTCATGATTTGAGCCTTCCTGAAGCTACCATCCTTATCTTTCTCAAGGCCAGACTTAAGAATGAGGTAATTAGTTAATCACGAGAACCTGTGCTTAGTTCTATAGCTGGGGGGGGGGGATTAAGAGCCAATGTTAACATTCTATGGAAAGTACTACCAAAGGTGATTTTTATATATTTTTATTTCAGTTTACATACTGCCCTGATCTAGATAGCCCAGGCAACCTCATCAGATCTCGGAAGCTAAGCAGGGTCGACTCTGGCATGTACTTGGATGGGAGACCTCCTTGGAATACCAGAGACAGGAGGACAGAGGCAGGCTTTATTCAGCCACCTCTCTGAATATCCTCCAGGCCCCCAGTAGGGGTCAGTCACCAGAGGTCACCATGGCTTCCAGTTGCACACGCACACATGGACATATGAAAAGTACAAAAGAAATTAAAAATAAAATATAAGCTGTACTTATTTATAATCAAAACCATACACTTACATACATTATGTAGAACTTGCTTAATTTACTTTTTAATACTTAATATTTCACTTCTACTTAAATACCTTTTCTGTCTTTTCCATCTATCCTCATATCTAATAACATTTCCATTATACAGCATGTGTTACCTAAATCTTTCTTTCAAAGGCAATTTTTGATTGGATTCGAGAGACCACCTGGTGTCAGAGGGCCAAAGGGCATAGGCCAAAGAGAAGCCATGATAACTTTATGCTTATTCCATGCTGCTACACTTGGCTGTGTTTTGCTTCATCATGATGGATTGCAACCTATAAAATACTTTTAGGGTACAGCTGCAGTATTTATGCTGCTACAAAATAAGCCATCCAATACCAAGTATTTTAATGCATTAAACAGAACAGTTAGCTTTCTTATTTTCTCTGTCGCTGAGCTATAGAGACTGTATTGCGTCGTGAACTCTTTGTTTTAATCTTAATAAACTTTTATATATTTTTAAAGGTCTGGTTAACTTGTGTATGTTTATCTCGAGGATCCACAGGGTTGGGTGTCATTCAAGGGACAGTGAACAATAACCCAGAGGGACCCAGGTGGTGCCCAGGCTTGGGTTCCTGAAAAGGTGGGTTCCTGAAAAGGTTGTTATATGCACGTTTGTGCATATAACAACACAGTCAAAAACTGTAACACCGTATCCCAAAATACTTGACACTTGATTCAAAAATACTTGACACTTGATTCAAAAGAAGCTCCTATGGGGATACCAGCATTACATGGAGGCTGGCTGCCCATAGAGCAGAGGATATTAGGTTTACTGTATTATATAGAGTGATAGCTGAAAGATCACACAGAATTGATATTCTGTTTGCCAGGCTGTACTTAGCAACTTGGACTGCCGGCCTGGAGGTCTCTAGCAAATACGGGTGAGTACAGGCTGAAGGCTCAATGCATCACAAGGTTCAGTGGGGACTGGGGAGGTCTGCTGAAAGTGGAGGGGCAAGGGAGAAAACAGCAATGAATCAGTGCTGGGACATTCCAGAAGTGCACCAGCCTGCAAATCTCACCCTTTTGCCTAGAAATTCAGCCTCAGCAGGGCTTTTTTTGTGGAAAAAGCCCAGCAGGAACTCATTAGCATAATAGGCCACACACTGAGCAGGGTGGGAGGGGGGCTCTTGGTAGTGGGTGATTCGATCCTTAGGCAGGTAGACAGCTGGGTGGCGAACCCGCGTACTGACCGTATGGTGACTTGCCTGCCTGGTGCGAAGGTAGCGGACATTACGCGTGTTTTAGATAGGCTGGTAGATAGTGCTGGGGAGGAGCCAGTGGTCGTGGTGCATGTCGGCCCTAATGAGTTTCTGCTGTTGGGTGTGGCCTATTATGCTAATGAGTTCCTGCTGGGCGTGGCCAACTTGGAAGCCAGCCGGAACTCCGTTCCTGTGCGTTCCTGCCCAAAAATAGCCCTGAGCCTCAGTATATGTAGAGATGTGTGCTTTCCTTATCGTGAGAGACAAGCACTCTGGAAACGTGCAGTGTTTGCAGTCTCAGCATTCATAGAAGAGATTATTCTTGGCTCAGATATATTTTGTTCTATACCAAGACTTCATCTATCTGTAGCAAGCGGTGAGGGGGATTAAGACTTCCTAGATACTGGGCCCCCCAAAGCCTTTTGGCCTTCTGCAGTTAAGTACTATTTTGTTTCCTCGTAGTTCAAGGTTCCAGGCCTCGAAGTCTTTGAGCAAGGCAAATCACAACACATTTAATGCAAAATATTTTATCTGATCAAAAAAGAGAAAACATTTTATAAATATACCGTTTCAAACAGTCCGACGTGTTTTAAATTTCTTTATTGTAAACATATATACATTTAGAACTGTACAATGACATAAGTAAATAAAGTGATCATCTTATAGTAAAGAAGAAAAGGGAACTCTAATAGAGTCTATATCCTCA